TTTATCCCAAACCCTCGGTCCCCGCCCTCGTCGTTTTCGATCGTACCCGATTGAGGGTACATCTTTTTTACCTACCACGCGCATATAGTGCAGCCCCTAAAACAAGGAAAGAGAGGACGGGTGGAAGGGGGAGGGAGAAGGATGGAGCACGGCGGAGAGTAGCAGGACGGGGGCTAAAAGCAGAAAGCACGTGGCAAATCCAGATGGGCGGATCGGCGGGCCGATCCAGAACGGGCGGGCCGGGAAGGCGGGCCCAGGCGACCAGGTCGAGCAAGCGGGTCGCTGAAGCGTGAGTCCTGCATAAAACGCGGAAAAGTCTCGGGCGATAGCGCATTCCCAAAAAGCCGTGAGAAAGGCCAAGAGCGAGAGCGTGATTCCTGAGCGCCAAAAATCACATCATCTGAGTAAATTGCGAGGAAGTTCAACGCGAGAGCGCGATTCCTGCACAAGTAAATTGCGAGAAAGAACGGCGCAAAAACGCAATTTTAGTTGGAGGTTGGGGGGTAAGTCCGACGTGAAACGGAGACCCCCCCTACCGGGGAATCGATTCCGGTTTTGGGTTCGTGTCGTGCGTGCCGTGCGAGGGCGAGGCGAAACTGCTTGGGCGGGCGAGAGGAAATCCTCCTGTGGCTGGGTCGCGGCCGGACCAAATGTAACTCCTCTGGCGGCCGGTGCCCCGCGGTGTCCCGCCGGTGTCCCGCGGGTGTCCCGAAATCCTCCTGTGGCTGGGCCGCGGCCGGACCAAATGTAACTCCTCTGGCGGCCGGTGCCCCGCGGTGTCCCGCCGGTGTCCCGCGGGTGTCCCGAAATCCTCCTCTGGCTGTGCCGCGGCCGGACCAAATGTTTCTCCTTTGGCGGCCGGTGCCGCGCGGTGTGCGCTTCGCCAACATCGCCACATCACATCACGCTCAGGTGCACAATCACACTACTCACTAGACTCCCCACCACAGGTATCGTCAGAACAACAATCGCCACTTTTGCCCATTGCTGCCCCCCCCCAACCTCCTTATCACCCGCAGGGTGGTCGTATAGGTACAAAACCGTGAGGGAACATCAGGCGGGAGCCGTTGTTTTTGTAACCGGGGGGCAACAACACCATTCTGAAACTCAAGAATTGCCGCGTTTCGTTTGTAAGAAAAATGCAAGCCCCCGGAAGGGCACTTCAATTGAACAAACACAATGTGTCCTGGACGGGGGGATCAACAATAGTTCATCGTGAGAAATGAAAGCTCAACAACAACGACAACAACAAACATGTGACGACTGTTCGCTCTGATCTGCTCGCTGGCCATTCAACACGTATATCATAGATCCCAAACCTTCGATACCCGCCCTCTTCGTCTTCGATCGTACTTCCTTGGGGGCCGATATCTTTCTTACCTGCTACGTTTATTTCGTGCATCCCCTAAGGCAGGGGAAAAAAGGACGGGTGGAAGGAAGGAACACGGGGGAGGAAGGAGGATGGAGCACGAGAGAAAGTAGCAAGATGGGGGCAAAGAGAAGAAAACACATGGCAGAACTAGACGGGCAAATCGGGCGGGTAGACACTGACGGGCGGGTCGGGAAGGCAAGCCCAGGCGGCCAGGTCGAGTAAGCGGGTTGCTGAAACATGCGTCCTGAATGCATCGCGAGGATTTGTTGAATGATAGCGCGATTCCCAAATACATCGCCGGGAATTCCACAGCGACAACGTCATTCCTGAGTGTCGAGGGCGCGACGTCTGGTCTATACCAAGAGCCTGGAAGTCCCACACGAGAGCGCGCTTGCTGCAATAATTGTGAGGACGTCCTGCGCGAGAGCGCAATTTGGGAATAACATGTGGGGGAACATCAGGCGGGAGCCGCTGTTGTTGTCAACCGGGTGCCAGGGGCACAGTTAGGAGACCCCTCGCTTTCCCTTGTAAAACATCTGCATGCGAGCCTTAGAAGAAACACTTTGCTTGGAACAAATGCAATGGTCACTGGATTGGGGGCAACAGTAACTATGTTTAAGAAGTGAGAATTCAACAACAACAACAACAACAACAATTACTAGCACGTGGGGACACTCCGTTCTCACCAGTGCCAGGGTTTTCATACGACGCCCGCCAATACCCCCACTTTGTGGGGGGGCCGGTTCAAGCTCTACCACATTTCCAAACGACTCTTCGCCACCACCCACACCCAGCTTCCCGCCCTATGACGTTCGGACACTTCACTTCGTGGCCTGCGGACGACCGTGGCTACTACACTGGCGCATGGGTACAGTGACTTGTTGTGGTAACACTTTCTGGACGCTAGCTTAGTATACGACGCGTGCGCGCGCGAAGAAAAAACGAATGTGTCCCGCATGGTATTATTTGACAGGGATGATGGCCCTGGCAGGTGCGCAACCGTTGTTGGAGAAGTTCGAAGCAAGTGAAAAAGTTGCTCGCAAAAGCCCGTTTGACAGAAATGTTTAAAAAGTGTTGGGTTTCCTACAAATCCGCAAGAGCGCGCGGGATGAACATTTTGACACTTTTTTTTGAAAAACCATTGTTTTTTTGATGTTTTTATGTTAAAATCGCTACGAACACTAAGGTTTTGGAAGGATTTCGTCTTGCGCGCGCGAATGTCCACTTTACCTTATTTTTTGCAAGGGATTCTTGAAGTTTGGTTATGTTAGAACAAGAAATGTCCACTTTGCCTTATTTTTTGCAAGGGAAAACCGCCCGTAACAAAACAACCGGATCCGGACCAACCCGTTTTGCCGGAGACTTCCTCACGAAAATGATGAAAACATGGCTGCGGCCTAGGCGCGGCGAGGGGGCCGTGCACCAGGGGCCCAACAATAATTATTCTTTAGAAGTAATAATGTTCAACAACAACAACAACAACAACAACAACAACAATTACTAGCACGTGGGGACACTCCGTTCTCACCAGTGCCAGGGTTTTCATAGGAGGCGGGCAATACCCCCACTTTGTGGGGGGGCCGGTTCAAGCTCTACCAAATTTCCAAACGACTCTTCGCCACCACCCACACCCAGCTTCCCGCCCTATGACGTTCGGACACTTCACTTCGTGGCATGCGGACGACCGTGGCTACTATTCAGGGCCCCGCGGCCGACGACGACGGCGTGCGCGCGCGAAGAAAAAACGAATGTGTCCAATATGGTATTATTTGACAGGGATGATGGCCCTGGCATGCGCGCAACCGTTGTTGCAGAAGTTCGAAGCACGTGAAAAAGTTGCTCGCAAGAGCCCGTTTGACAGAAATGTTGAAAAAATATTGGGTTTCCTCAGAAATCCGCAAGAGCGCGCAAGATGATTTTTGAAACTTTTTTTTGAAAAACCATTGGGTTTTTCATGTTTTTATGTTAAAATCGCTACGAAAACTAAGGTTTTGGAAGGATTTCATCTTGCGCGCGCGAGTGTGCACTTCGTGACATTTTTTGCAAAGGATTCTTGAAGTTTGGTTATGTTAGAACAAGACATGTCATTTTATAGTGTTTTTTGACAGGGAAAGCGGGCGTCAACAAAACAACCGGATCTGGATGACATCGTTTTACCTGAGACTTCCTCACGAAAATTATGAAAATGTGGCTGCGGCCTAGGCGCGGGGGGGGGGGCGTGCACCAGGGGGCCCAACAATAATTATTCTTTAGAATTAATAATGTTCAACAACAACAACAACAACTGCAACAACTGCAACAACAACATAATCAACAACAACAACAACAACAACAACAACAACAACAACAACAACAACAACAACAACAACAACAACAACAATAACAACAATCATTTTAAGACTGTTCGCTCTGACCTGCTCGAGTGCCATTCAACGTGTATTTCCCAAACACTCGATACCCGCCCTCTTCGTGCTCGATCGTACCATTTTTGAGGGTGTTTATTTCTTCCTTGCAGGCCGGGCCCTGGCATACGGCGGGGCGGCCGCGGACAGTCGGCCTGGCCAGCGGCAGCGCTGATCGGCGGCAACCCGACCCCAAGAGGGACAGACAGGGGACCGACCACGACGACGACGATGACGACGACAACGACGGCGACAACGACGGGTCGGCCGCACGATGCGAGAGGTCGATAGGTGGACGTTCAAAGATGGAGGCGGAAGGTTGGATCTTTTCACCTGTCGGTGGATGGTGGGAGTCGGAGGTTGGACGCTGAATGTCAGCCGTGGCGAAGAACAGCCAAAAACCTCAAGAATCTTCGACATTCGATGCTCCCTTGACCCTCAGTCCTCGATCCTTCGTGTCTGGGCGTTCTCCTGGCGAGGGAGGATCGGCGACTCCGAAGGGTGTGGTTTGCAAAGGGTGTGGTTTGCAACCCGCGCCTGGGGGGGCGGGCGAGGACCTCGACAGATAGACCTTTGCGCACCTTGGCGAGGACTTGTCATTTTTTTTGCGCGATTTGGTTACCCCCTAAGCCTCATGAGCGCCGATCGCAAACCACACCGGCGTAATCACACCCACTGTAGTCGCCGAGAGGAGGCGCCGAAAGAAGGGCATAAACATAAACTGTTGGAGGTCCGCGCGCATTTCTTGGATCAGCGCCAGCGACAGGGGCGGCGCCGGAGGCGCCGCCAGGGGGCCCCAACGCAGATCCAAGAAATCTGCGCGGAGCTCCGAAAGTTTCTGCTCATGCTGTTGAGCGGGTGGGTCTTAAGGGGGAGTGACGTAAGTTCGGGATGAAGGAAGGGACCCTCACAGGGCCATCTGGGGCCCATTTTGGAGCCAATGGGGGCTCCAAAGGGAAAGGGGCCCTAAAGGGTCCCCTTTTGGGGCCCCTTCCTTCACCCTGACCCGCCCGAGATGTGTCGGCTGCACGAAAGAGTGACCCTAGGCAAGAGCCACCTTTGGTGCGCGGCTTAGCGGGGGACGCGGGGTGGCCGAAGCCAGGAGCCCACGCCGCTGCCGCCGCTTTGCGTTCAGCCATCGGGGACCCCGTTAGGCCCGCACCAGAGGTCACTCCGGCGAAAAGTCACCATATTACGTCTGGTCGAATGAAGTGCGGGCGGGGCGCCGGTGTTGTGGTAGTTGATGTGCATCTCCGCCACCGGCGTGGCCGGGTCGTGGCCGCCCCAGTCCTCGGGGAGCAGTCCCCCCTCCGCGCCGTCGCTCGGGAGGGCGCGGCCCTGGTGGGCGGCAGGCTCGTGCCGTGACGACACCGGCGCTGGTGCGGTCAGCGACTTCTTCGGAGGAAACGATCAGGGCGAATGGCCCAAGGGAGAGCAGTACTGAGACGAAACCAGGACGAGGATGTAGTCGGGTAAATCGAGAACCTCTGAGATCTGGCGGCTCTGGAGCATGTCTCGGGCGCCGCAGCCTTCTCAGAGCCTCCCGGGACGCTCTGAGAGCGTTCCGGAACGCTCTGGAACGGATTTATCCTCGTCGTAGCCCCATCCGAAATACATGTATCCAAGGGCGTAGATGGTCCATGCCGTCGGCGAGGTTTTGGGCGAATGCGTGTCATACTCGCCCCTCGACTATTCGCCCATATCGACGCCACCGACCTTTGTACGGCGTGGTCGCCACAGCGGCCCGGGCGACACTTGACATTTCTCGCTTGACACTTCCTTGACACTTCTCGGAAGGGTACGGTCGGATGTTTTGCCTAGCGTGTCGTGGCGGCGGCCCCGGCGACACGCGACGCCCTCCGAACAGTCAACGTGTCGCTCCACACAGGCGGGGCAGGAGGCTCGGAAAGGCTCGAGACGTGGACGCCCGGGGACCTGGGAAGTGGATGGCGTGTCGCGCCGAGGCGCGGTGGGTCAGAACCATTGCGACGCGCTATCCCAAAGATCCCGACCGTATCTGTTCTGGCAACGCGTGGATCGTTCGACCTTGAACGATCCGCGGCGTTTCACATCGTCAGATCATCCACTCCTGGCCGATTCTGGGCCACTGGCAGCGCTCAGCCTATGAACGCCCGCGGCGGCGTCGCCGCCGCGTCGGCACGACGCGAGCCTGCCGTGGGCGACTTTGTCCGCGAGGGCTTCTCAGGGCGGTCTGCATGGGTCCAAGCCGAGCTGGCGGATTGATGGCAAAGCGCACAACAAGAGGTTACACCTACACGTCCGAGCGACGCCCAGCGCCACCCCGAACTCCCCCGCGGCAAGCTCCGTAGGCCTTCTCGTTCCGCTGCTCCTTCCTCCTTCCTCGCCCTCCTCGTCCTCCTCCTCCTCCTGCCCCTCCTCCTCCTCCTCCTCCTCCTCCTCGTCCTCCTCCTCCTCCTCCTCCCCTCCTCCTCCTCCTCCTCCTCCTCATCGTATCGTCATCGTCATCGTCATCGTCATCGTCATCCTCATCCTCCTCATCCTCATCCTCCTCATCCTCCTCTCCTCCTCATCCTCATCCTCATCCTCATCCATCATCCTCATCCTCATCTCATCCTCATCCTCATCCTCATCCTCATCCTCATCCTCATCCTCATCATCCTCATCATCATCTCATCATCATCATCATCATCATCATCACCACCACCACCACCACACACCACCACCACCACCACCACCATCACATCATCATCATCATCATCATCATCATCATCATCATCATCATCATCATCATCATCATCATCATCATCATCATCATCATCATCATAATCATCATCATCATCTTCATCATCATCATCATCACCATCATCATCATCATTATCCTCCTCCTCCTCCTCGTTGGCGGCTGCCGCCGCCTAGGCCTTGTCGTGCGGAAACGCCGCATCCGTCTCCTGGTCGGTCTCGCCCGCCTTCTGGAAGCCGTGGTCGCCGGTGTCCATCTCGTGCTCCTTTACCGGCCTCGGGCGACGGTGACCCGTCCAGCTGCCTTGACTTGCTGGCTGACGCCCGCTGGATCGTCGCCGTCGGCGTCACCGACACGTCGTCCAGGACCACCTCCTCGGCCATCGCCGCCTCGATGGTGATCTTGAGCTTCTCTGGCTCGAGCGGCCTCACCCCGTGAGCCTTGGCCCACCTGCCGAAGCGCGCCAGGAGCGGACTCGCTCGGCCGTTGTCCAGCTCCAGCACCGCCCGCCGCGCGTAACCCAGGTCGTTCTTGAGCACCCAGCGTTAATCCGCGGTCGGGTACTTGCCGAAGCGCATCTTGTCGTTCCCCGTGATCTGCGAGTTTGGATAGGCCACGTTGCTCGAGGCGCCGCTGACCGCGTTCTCGACCTTCCAGCCCTTCAGGCGCTGCCTGAGCTCCGGCACGGTCGTGTGCTGGTCGAAATCGATACCCTTCATCCTGCACAACTCCTGAGGCTCGTGCTTGTGCATCTTGCCGAACCCGGGGATGTCCTGCGCCTTCTTGTCCTGGCCCTCGGCCCTCAGCGCGCGCAGGATGACGCGGAGCTGGTCGCACGTCGCGTCGCGCACATCCAACTCGTAGCTTGCCACCTCGGCCTGTAGGTCCCCCATCCGCGTGCTGGAGATCGCCGGCAGGCGGGAAGTACTCGGCGTCGGCGCACTCGAGCAGCTGACCTCTGGGTTCGTCGCCCTGGGAGATGCCATGCATTTCCGCTGCGACGGGGGCATGAACTCCGGCCGCTGGTTCGTGAAAAAGCTGCGGCGGCTGGATCTGCCACGGCACGCGACGTGAAAACTGTTGGAGCCTGAGATGAACTCGAGCCGGATGGCTGCGGTGACGATGCCGTTTGACGACTCCGTGCTGATGCCTGATCTCATAGTCCGCCATCGCTTGCTTGCTGCTGAAATCGGACACGTTGTGACTGAGGGTCGCTGTCTGGTTTCGTCCCTCGTCCTGCATGATCGGTTTGCATGATCTGTGCTGCGCTGGCGGACTTAGGGATAACTCCCCATGCCTCATCCCCCGACCCCGATGACGACTGACACGATGGAATGCATGCGCACATGGCCTGGCGCACCTGCTGCTCGAACAGTTCAGCGCCGTCGAGCTCGTCGCAGTCAGTCTCCGACTGAGACTCGTCGGCCTCCGAAGCGACCCCTTGGTCGCAGCGCTCGGGCGCTGCCGGATTGGCGGCGCTGGCCGCGGCTGTCTCAGCGCGGTAGGTCGAAAAGGGACGCAGCCGGATCTCCGTCTTGGCGTCCGAGACGTCCGATTGTAGCTTGGCGCGAAGCCTGTGATCTCGAGCGCCGGGTGTCCGGCGCGGCTCAAACCCATCTGGATGCCGTGCGCGTTGACGGAGTTAATGTCCAGCTTGTTGTCCCCCGCATGGTAGAGGACGTCCAGCTCGCTCTGGGCCTGGCGGCTGAACAGTCCAGGCACGGCGCCGCGCGCGATGCTCATGCGCACGGCGAAGGCCTTGCAAATCACCGAGCAGGGAATCAGAGCCGCCTTGAGGCTGTACACCACCTTGGACGCTCCGAAGCGGAGCGGCTCCTTCTCCGGGCACTCGATCGGTTGGATATTGAAGGCCGCCAGCTTCTTCTTGATGTCGTCGCACCAGTCCAGGCCGCCGACGCACCGCGAGCAGGCGGCGTCGAAAGTCAGCTTGCCGCCCGACTCCATGAGTAGGTCTTCGACGCTGGTGCAGATGAGCGCCGAGCCCGTCGCAGCCATGTGGCACTGGTTGTCCTTGTTGATGTAGAAAAAGGCTGCCGCCACCTCCTCGGGGATGTCGCGCAGCGCGCTGCCGAAGGTGACCTTCCCCCGATATCGCGCCACTCTCGGCTGCTCGTGCTGGTAGACCGACGCGACCGTCATCTCTGCGACGTGGGGCTCGTGCGCGTCGCCAGCCCCGCCGTTCGTAGTCATGCTCGTCTCGTGACTTTCCTTTCGCGGGATGTCGGCCCTCGCGCTGGGGTCGTTCTTCTCGGAGCACCGCGGGTCGCCGCGCCAGTGGCCCTTCTGGCCGCAATCTCCACGGTGCGTCCTCGCCTTCACCTTGGCGGTCTTGGCATCGCCCACCTTCGGCGGATGCCCGCCGTTTCGCTCGGCGACGTAGCCGCGCGCCTGCTTGGCCTCCTTTAGCTTGTCCTTGGCGCGCGCCATCTTCGCGGTGAAGACAGGCACCTGCCCCTCCACCTCGTCTATCACATCCTGCAGCTCGTCGGGCAAGTGTTCGTCGCAGCCCTCGGAGCGGTCGGTGGACACGCCGTCATTCTCGGCCTCGTCGCAGGCCTCCGTGGCGCACACCTTCTTGTGGTCCTTCTAATGACCTCCGCAGCCGCCTTTGTCGTGGCGATGCTCTTCGTTGCCGTCCACGACTGATACTTTGGGCAAATTGATCATGAGCTGCTCCTGGATCTTCGTCGGATTGAACTTGTTGCCCACGCCGCTGAGCACACTCGCCGCGCGCTCTGGTGGCAGGCGGGCGCCCTTGATGCACAGGTCGGCCAAGACCTCGTTGGGCACCTGGATGTCCTTAGCTCTCAGCTTCGTCGCCATGCTGTTGACGCGATTGCTGAAATCGCGGATCTCCTCAAAGTTGCGCCGGATGCATGCCGGCTCCACGAATGTCTCCAGGAGCGCTGGCAATTCCAATACTTCAATCTCGGGAAGGCGTTTCCCGAGGTACTCCAAGAAAACCTATACCGAGTCGTCGCCCTTGATGGTCTCTAGGTCGAGCTCCTCGAGCGCCTCCTCGGCTTTGGCCTCGAGGCTGGCCAAAAGCGTCGCGCCCTGCTTGGGCAGCTTGACCTCCGTGCCAATCTGCCACGTGGCGACTTCGCGGCGGAACTTCTTCATCGTTTTGCTCGTGCCGTCAACGACGGGTACAGGGATCTTGCCCCCGCTGTTCTTGTCCTCGCCGCTGGCTGCAGCGGCTCCTCCAGTAGTCGCCATGGCGGCAACTCCGAATGAGAGGTATCAGCAATCAACTCCTCCGACTGAGAGGTACAAGGCGCAAGAGTCGCAATCACGAGCCTTGTGGGTGCCTTTATTGACTCTGCGAAAGCGCGCGCGTTGCCGTGGTCGAGTTAGTTCCTGCTACAAATGTAGACCCAATACTGCAAAGCTGGGTCGTAGTGCAATAATAGCCGCGAAGTTGTATGTCAGCAAAGATACAGCAACGATAACAATAATATCCGCGATGGATGGCGAAATATGGTTACTTAGTGGAACCCGCGATGGCCCCTACCGGTACGCCCAAACTCAAGGGCCCTGGAGCCCAAATGGATACGAAAGGACATGTTACCTCTCGCCTGAATATTAGCACA